GAATGAAACTAAAATGACTATAAAATGTCTTTATTTAATTAGAAATACGTGGCCTGAGTATAATTATATTTATTTGCTATGTTTAAAGTAGTATGTTTCAATCATAATTATAAATCATCACAATGTTAGGAGCTTTTATGACTCAAACTTTCATGCCAAAATAGCACATAAGTTTTGGCAGGAGCTTCATGATCTCCTAATTTGGTAGTGTTCTCCGAGGAGTAGGAATGCTTTCATATACAACATATAGAAGGCCACAGTACTTGTAGTTCCAATTATCTGGAACATCTTCATATGAAAGTGATTTTTTTTGTAATTTTACATAAGACATCATTCTTAATTTAGAATCTCAATATTCTAAAATGCCTATTTATTTCCAGACTGTTGGGTAAGTCCTAGAATACGCCCCACTTTGAATTTGCTTGGCCCTGCTTGCACACCCACCAACCACACTATCATCTCCCACCTCATCCCTGGCTTCAGTCACTTGTCTTGTAGCCCCAGAAAAGATTCACACAGTTTCTGCAGTTACAAATCTTCCCAGAAAAGAGAGACAAACCACCATTCCTGTTCATAGCTCCAACAGGACCAATTAAAGCTCTGTCTCCCCAGCAGCCCCTCAAAGAGGTCAGGAAACACAACTAAGAAGTGTAGAAAAGTTAAATACCCCAGGAGTAGACATTAACCAGTAAGAAACGAGACACAGAAAGAAGCCAACGGATATACACTGCTTGTCCTTACTCCCCCAACCACGAGCTGTTCTGAGGCACAAGTGGTTTCATGTGGCCTCTGGGGAAAATTCCTATAAAAGCAAGCAACCAGTTGTATTTTCTCAGTAATATACCACCTTACATAGTTAGTTCTCATTATTCATGGTAGTTATGTTCTACAAAGTCACTGTGAACACTGAGTCAGTGAATAATGAACCATTGCTCCTAGGTAAAATACAGAATTAGGTTCCTGCAAGCCTCTGGTGACGACATTTTGGTCAATGGATTACAATCTTGTTTCATGTGTGTTTCTGTTTAGAGAGGCTTTTTCAAATATACTGTTGACTTGTTAACACTGAACTTACACACTACTGCAGTATTCACAGTACTCCCACTGGTGTCCAGACAGAGAATCTAACCCATGTATGGCACATGATAGCCTTTTTGTATTTAGGAACACTAAACAGCACTTTAACAATACAGCTGGGCTATTTTAAACACTGAAAGCACCAACAAAAAGCACAAAAGTACAACAAATGTGGCTCTAAACAGAATATAAAAAGGACAATTCTTTGCAGTACGAGAGCTGAAACAAGGCAGAATATCACCTGTTCAACCTCAGTTGGGAAAGTGCAACACAAAACTCAAATTTCTTCATCCCTATGCACATGTCTGCAAGTGACCACAAAAGCAACATGAGGACTGATTTTGGGGTTAGAAACACATTTTATCAAGTAGGCAAATTCACAAAAAATGGAACCCAGGTATAATGAGGATTGACTGTATTTGTTTTCTCTTATACTTACTTTCCCTTTCCTCCTCTTATTTCTTCTCTAAAAATGTACTCTTCTCCCTAACCTCCAGAAAAATATTAGCCCATGAACTTCACCAAAGGCTCTGTTTTCCAGGGAATGCAGGCTAAAACACAAATCTTAGTTCAAAATGTTCAATATGTTTGCTGCTTAAATAAAAAACTAATATTTTTTTTCTCATTGGCAAATATACACCTACTTTATTTCCTAATATACATTTTCTCACGAGATAGTGGCAGTGTGTGTGTGTGCGTGTGTGTGTGTGTGTGTGTGTGTGTTTTGAGACAGAGTCTTACTCTGTCACCCACGCTGAAGTACAGTGGCAGGATCCCAGCTCACTGCAAGCTCCGCCTCCGGGGTTCATGCCATTCTCCTGCCTCAGCCTCCCTCCCAAGTAGCTGGGATTACAGGCGCCCGCCACTATGCCTGGCTAATTTTTGTATTTTTAGTAGAGACAGGGTTTCACCGTGTTAGCCAGGATGGTCTCGATCTCGTGATCGAGATCACGAGATCCGCCCACCTCGGCCTCCCAAAGTGCTGGGATTACAGGCGTTAGCTACCGCGCCCAGCCATGTATTTCCCTACTTGATGATTAAACTTTAAAAAAAAAATCAGCTGGGCACGGTGGCTCACACCTGTAACCCCAGCACTTTGGGAGGCCAAGGCAGGCAGATCACCTGCCAGGCAGATCGGCAAGGCAGGCAGAGTTGGAGACCAGCCTGATCAACATGGAGAAACCCCATCTCTACTAAAAATACAAAATTGGCCAGGCAAGGTGGCACATGCCTGTAATTCCAGCTACTTGGGAGACTGAAGCAGGAGAATCACTTGAACTCAGGAGGTGGAGGTTGCGGTGAGCCAAGATCGTGCCATTGCACTCCAGCCTGGGCAACAAGAGCAAAATTCTGTCTCAAAAAAAAAAAAAAATCAAACTATAGCAAAAAGTATGCCTAATTTCCACTTTATTAAATATGTAATGTTGTCTTAAAAGATGGTGCAGAAGCAAACTTTTTGCTTGGCTGAAAATTAACTAAAGCATTTTAAGGAAGCCCCAAACACCTATTATTCATATTTTCAAGTAATTTAATTTGATACAGAAAATAATAAATCTTAGAAAAACTAAAAATATTCATGGTCCATGAAGATTCACATTTTATTGAAGAAACAGTTTAAAGGTTGAAAGGGAATGGAACAAAATGAAATTTTTTATCCAACAGTACAACAGATTTACTAAGCACTTAGAAATACATTTAAGAAGAATAATGAAGGAGAATATCACAACTAGGTATAACAATTTTAAGGTCTTTAATAGGGTAAAAAATATATAACAATATACTTCTAAGACCAATGGAAAAGTACGAAAGGCCTGAAAAAAAGATGTAATAATTTTGTGTAAGATGTAAGTGGCACTTCAAATCAGTAGAGGGTAGGATTGGCATTAACTGGAAATCTTAGAAAAAATATATGAAACCAAATGTCAAGATATATTAAAAATAAATATAAAAAGCTATTAATAATACCAAAGAGAGCTGGGAGAAAATACAGGTGGATATTTTTATTAACCAGAAGTGGAAAAAAAAATCTTTCTAAATATAAGCAGCAGAGAAATATGAAGGAAAAAGTCCACAGATCTGAATACATAATATTTAAAGCCAGTAAAGAAGAAATTTCTGAAGTAAAAATATGGAGAAAACATTTTCAAAATGAGGAGCAAAATATTAACATCTCTGAGACATATATATGTGTGTGTATATATATACACACACACACACACACTGAGCTCTTACAAATAAGTTAGAAAAGATCACAAAAGAAAAGAAGGTAAATAATATAATCAATATAGATATAAAAGTCACAAAGAAAAAATGGCAAAGCTGGGAGTGGAAAAGAATGTTTGATACCAATAGTAACCAAATAAATACAAATTGAAACAATACATTTGTTACCTATAAACTGGCAACAATATGAACCCTACTCTCTGGCAGCTCAACCACTAACAAATGTTAACTATCATACAATTAGGGTTCAGCACAGTGGTCCCCAACCTTTTCGGCACCAGGGACCAGTTTCCTGGAAGACAATGTTTCCATGGATGGGGTTTGGGGTGGTGTGGGGTGATGGTCTCAGGATGAAACTGTTCCACCTCAGATTACCAGACATTAGATTCCCATAAGGAGCATGCAACCTAGATCCCTCACATGTGCAGTTTAGGGTTCACACTCCTATGAGAATCTATGTCCCTGCTGATCTGACAGGAGGCAGAGCTCAGGCGGTAATCCTTGCTCACCTGCAGCTCACCTGCTACGCAGCCCAGCTCCTAACAGGCCACGGACCAGTACAAGGGTTGGAAACCCTTGGTTCAGAGGATACATTGGTCCTTTTTCAGAAAACCATGTGGTAATGAGTACTGAAAGTCTTTCAAATGCTACATAACCTTTGACCAGCTATTCTGCATTTAGGAACGAACTCTAATGAAATTATCTCAATCGACATAAAGATATAACTAAAAATAATTTAGTTATATCTAAAAGTAATTTATAAGAAAAAATTGAGAAACAACCTAAAATTCCAAAAACAAGGGTCTATTTAAATTATTGTACAGCTTAGAAAATTTAATGTCCAGGTAAAATGTTGATATTGTGCTTGATTTTAAAAAGTAGTGTTGCGCTGTGTGTGTGTGTGTATGTAATATATCACTAATTGCCAAGCACTGTTCTAAGCATTTAAAAAAATAAATTCCTTGTAACAGCCCAAAATAAGTTAGGTATTATTATTAGCTATATCTTATATTGTTTCGTAATGTTTAAGAAAAGTTGAAAAACACACATGCAGCAAACATATACCCATATACATTAATTAAAAAGACTCAAAGGGACTTTACAAAATAACAGTAGTGGTTATCTCCAGATTAACACATAATTTTTATTTTCATTTGAAGTTTTAAGTCTTCAATAAAAACATGTATGACTCTAAGGAGATTTGTTATTAAAAATAAAATACATGGAAAATCAATTCGCTTGTATTATTCATATATAGAAATTTTCCTCAGGTTAGAATAGAAACTTGAAGAGAATAATTCAACTGCTTTTTCCTAAGGCTGTGGCCAATAGGTGACAAAACTTGCGATGGGTAATTGACTACCTAGTACTTTCTGACTAGATGCAAGTCATCTAATTTTACCACCTTTCCAATACACACTGGATGTGATTGCTCAGATCCTAAGTAATAAAAAGCAACCTAAATCTTTATTACATTATTTGCACAAATATGTACAAAGTATTTTGAGTCTATCGCTTATTAGAGATTTGACTTCTACAAATCACTTAACCTTTGAGTCTTGGTTTTCCCAGCAATAAAAAGGGAAATAATACCTTCCTCAAAGGCCACATACAAAATGTCTTCGCTCATAGTACTTGTTCAATAACTAATTTTTTTAACTATTTAGCAAAATTCAGTAAATTACACAGTTCTTACTTACCGACAGGATAATTCTCCATCCATAGCATCATGCTCATCTGTACTGGTGTATGTTAATCTTCCTCCAACAACTGTCCCAACTAAGTATACCAGCCATGCAAGACGTCCTGATATAGAATAAGAAAGAAAAAAGTTTAAGAAGTATTCATAGAAACACAGCTTATTTTGGGAGAAATTCCAAAATTAGCACAACGATCTACTCTTCCAAACAAGTGATAAATCACTGTGAACTCAGTTCTTGATAGAAAGCAGATGGGTTTTAAGTTTATCAAGGCAGCAGAACAGTGAAAATGCCATAGAATTTAGAGCCAAATAAAACTAATTTGAATCCCAGCTCTACTAAGTTGCTATGTGATCTTGCATAAGTTACTTATCTCTTTAAGTCTTAAGGTTTTCATTTGTAAAATGGAAAAAACAATGTCTACCATGAAGACACGACTGAAAATAAATTTGAGTACAAAACACTAAACTGTCTAGGACCAGGTCTGTTATTCAGTCAGGTCGTACTCTTATGATCCAAGGACCAGCATCTTTTCTGTTTTTGTTTTGTTTTGTTTTGTTTTGTTTTGTTTGTTTTGTTTTGTTTTGTTTTTTGAGACGGAGTCTCGCTCTGTCGCCCAGGCTGGAGTACAGTGGCCGGATCTCAGCTCACTGCAAGCTCCGCCTCCCGGGTTTACGCCCTTCTCCTGCCTCAGCCTCCCGAGTAGCTGGGACCACAGACGCCCGCCACCTCGCCCGGCTAGTTTTTTTTTTTTTTTTTTTTTGTATTTTTTAGTAGAGACGGGGTTTCACCGTGTTAGCCAGGATGGTTTTGATCTCCTGACCTCATGATCCGCCCGTCTCGGCCTCCCAAAGTGCTGGGATTACAGGCTTGAGCCACCGCGCCCGGCCCAGCATCTTTTCTGAATGGTCAATGTCATGATAGTACCAGTGTGATCATTTTAAATATTTCCCCTGCTTGGAATATAATAGTAATAAATTTATTCCTTCTGTATTTTTATGCATGATATATAAAAAAATCCAAGATTTCACATTGTTTTGACAGTACAGTCAACTTCACAGCTGATAGCAGTAGAGGATTAAATAGCTTTAAAGCAGTGGCACAAATGGCAACATCTACAGTTTTCATAAATCTTACTTTGGGGGCAGCTGAAATTGACTAATTTAGAAATGGAAGTATTTACTGAATGATTTTTGCTTAAGGTATATTATTTTATATCTCTGGATTCATTGATCTAGGTGATCCTTCAGTACTTTTGAGACCTTTATAGATAATTAACAACATAAAATTATCTTGCTAAAAACAAATTTTATGCTATTCTTGGAGACTGATTTTTCAAAGATAAGAGGGCTATTTCATAATACTGAAATCAATTGTTTCTGATTAAGAAATCTTTTCAAGTAAAAATGTTTTTTTAAAAGGTATGGAATTGAACAATGAAGAAAAGAGGCTATCTGTGCTTGTTAGAAGACTTAGGAAGGATAAATAAAAGGTGTAAAAAGAACAAATTCTTTCTGTTTTCCCATGGATACTAGCAGTTATTATTATACTACAATTAATCAACAACTCTTTTATAAATTTTTGGAGAGACACATCAACCTTTTAGGGTGACAAGATTCCTGTAAATTAGAAATCTAACCTGGCAAGTATTCACATCCTTTATTCTCTCACAAAACAACAACAAATCAGAATTGACCAATTATGCAGCCTTATACATTAGGAATGTGAAATAGATTAAATAGGAGAACAAGAACACTAATTTGATCAAGTAATCCATTGAAAAACAGACTCAAGTTTCATCACATATAATTCATGACAAAAGTAACAGAACAAAAACTTCATGTAAGAAGCTGAAAGTATCCAGAAAGTTACCTTATGAATTTCAAAGTATTTTAGGGTCAATATAAAAATCTATCATAGAAAGTCTACCCTGATGACCCTGCTTTCTCTGTGGGCTCTATCAAGTGGCAGCTGCTTTTTCTTCCACTTCTCATGTACTTGGGCCTTGAATATGGAGTAGATGATCTTCATGTTCCTCATTTCTACTTCACATTTTATCTTTCTTTATCATGAAAGCATTCGCCTTTACATCTTACATTATCAATAACACTAACAAATATCCCTTCTTATTGTAATTTACTCTCCTGCAGATTATTTCTCCCTGTTTTTTGAAAGTATTGGTTCTTGGCTGTCACTCTTTCCAACAATATTTATATCATAATCACTAGTGATTTCAATATCTACAAAGATGAATCTTACAATTCCAACAATCCTTTGTTCTACTGGGAATCTTCAATCCATGAGCCTATCACTTTTTGAACAGCTTCACTTAAATATAATTCACATACCACACAAGTAACCAACTTAAAGTACATAATTCAATGTTTTTTAGTAAATTAACAGGGTTATGCAAGCATCACCACAATCTAATTTTAGAACATTTTCATACTAGCTGTCATTCTGCATCCTACCACCATGCCCCTAGCCCCTAAGCAACCACTAAGCTACTTTATGTCTCAAATTTTTCCCATTCTGGGCAATTCATATAAATGGAATCATACAATAAGTGAGTGTTGTGACTGTCCCCTTTCACTCAGCATAATGTTTTCAAGGATCACCCATATTTTATCAATACTTATTTTTCAGTAAGTATCAATACTTATTTTTCTTTAGAGCTGAATAACATTCCATTATTTGTATAGATCTTATTTTTATTGATACACCATATTTGTTCATACTTGTGGTGTACATGTTGATACTTTTTTACATATGAAGAATGTGTAATGATCATGTCAGGGTATTTGGTGTATCTACTGCCTCAAGTATTCGCCATTTCTGCGTTGAGAAGAATTCAAATCCTGCCTTCTAGCTATTTTGAAATTGTTAACTATAGTCACCCTACTCTATCAAACATTATAACTTACACCTTTTATCTAACTGTATGTTTATACTCATTAACCAACCTCTCTTCATCCTGCCCCACTCCCCAGCCCACCCACACACCATTCTCAGCTTCTCCTATCTATCATTCTATTCTTTACCTCAATGAAATGAAAATTTTAGGTCCCACGTATATATGAGAACACATGGTATTTGTCTTTCTGTGCCAGGCTTCTTTCACTTAACCTCCAGTTCCATCTATGTTGCTGCAAATGATATGATTTCATTCTTTCTTATGGCCTAATGGTATTCTACTATGTATATATACCACATTACTTTATCCACCCATCAATGGGAATGTAGGTTGATTCCATATCTTTGCTATTGTGAACAGTGCTGCAATAAACATTCTTTTAACATACTGAACTATTCTTTTAACATTCTTTTAACTATTCTTTTAACTATTCTTTAAAATTCTTTTAACTATTCTTTTAACATACTGAACTCTTTTCCTTTGGATAAATGCCCAGTATTGGGATTGCCGGACCATATGGTAGTTCTATTTTTAATTTTTGAGAAATCTCCCTATTTTCCAAAATGGCTGTTTTAATTTACATTCCCACCACCAATGTGTAGGAGTTCCCTTTTATCCACATCTTTGCCAGCTTCTGTTATTTTTTCTGTTTAATAATAATCATTCTGACTGGGGTAAGATGGTATCTTACTGTGGTTTTGATTTGCATTTCCCTGATGATTAGTGATGTTGAGTATTTCTTCATATACCTATTGGCCATTTGTATGTTCTCCTTTTGAGAAATGTCTATTCACGTCATTTGCCTGCCATTTATTTGAATTATTTGGTTTTTTGTTTTTGTTTTATACTGTTATTTGTGATCCTTGCATATTCTATTCCTCCCTGATCAGATAGTTTGCAAATATTTTCTCCCATTCAACAGGCTCTCTTCACTCTGTTGACTGTTTCCTTTGCTGTGAAGGGGCTTTTCAGCTTAATATAATCCCATTTGTCTATTTTGATCTTCGTTGCCTGTGCTTTTGAGGTCTTAGCCATAAAACATTTGTATAGATCAATGTCCTGAGGTGTCTCCCCATGTTTTCTTCTAGTAGTTTTATAGTTTCAGGTCTTAAGTCTAATCCATCTAGATTTCATTTTTGTATATGGTAAGAGATAGAAGTCCAGTTTCATTCTTCTGCATCTGGATATACAATTTTCCCAGCACCATTTTATTAAAGAGGGTATCCTTTCCCCAATGTATGTTCTTGACACCTTTGTCAAAAACCAATTGGCTGTAAATATATGATTTATGGGTTTTCTGTTCTGTTCCATTGGTCTATGTGTCTGTTTTTATACCAATACCATGCTATTTTGGTTACTATGGATATATCACATTTCATTTACCCATTCAGTTAATGGATACTTGGATTGTCTCCATCTTTGGAGTATTATAAACAATACTGCTATGAACATTTTTATACAAGATTTTATGTGGATGCGTGTTTTCATTTCTCTTGAGAATACCTAGAAGTGGAAATGCTGAGTTACATGGTACCTCTCCTTTTCACATTTTGAGGAACTGCCAAAATGTTTTCAAAAGCAGCTGCACCATTTTGGGCATACATTCCCACCAGCAATGTATGAAGATTAAATTTATCCAAATCTTGCCAACACTTGCAGTTGTCTTTTTTATTATATCCATCCTAGTTGGTGTGAGGAGGTATTTGATTATAATTTTGATCTGCCTTTCCTTAATAACTAAGGCTATTGAGTATCCTTTCATGTGTTTAGCAGTCATTTGTGTGTCCTCTTTGGAGAAATGTCTATTCAAATCCATTGCCCATTTTTAAGGGTTGTCTTTCATTACTGGGTTGTAAGAATTATTTATGTATTCTAGATGCTAATCTCTTATCAGTCATATGATTTGCAGATATCTTCTCCCATTCTGTGGGTTGTACTTTCTTGATGGCATGCTTTGATGTGCAAAATTTGCAACTCTATTGTACCTAATTTGTCTAATTAATTAGATAATCTGGTTTATCTAATTTGTCTTCTGTTTTCCGCTTCAGGTGTCGTATCTAAGAAATAGTTGCCCAACCCAAAGTCACTTAAAATTTACTCGGTCACCCAGGCTGGAGGGCAGTGACGAAATCATAGCTCACTGCAGCCTCTAACTCCCAGGCACAAGTGATCCTCCCGAACAGCTGGGATTA